AACTGGTACACCAGGCGAACCTGATAAAACGCCCCCCTGGTCACGGCCGACAAGTGATCTTCCAATGTCAGCCGTGCATCCAGGAGGACTCCCAAGTTGCGCGCCCTCTCTGAGGGGGCCAGGGTTTCGCCCCCTATAGTCAGCGATGGAATCAGCTGACTATGCCGAGGCGCCGGCATCCACAGCCACTCGGTCTTGGAAGGGTTGAGCCTGAGTCTGTTCCTCCCCATCCAGACCCTCACGGCCTCCAGGCAACGGGCCATCACGTCAAGGGCATCGTTGGGGTGGCCTGGGGTGGAAATGTACAGCTGCGTGTCATCAGCGTACTGATGGAAATCCACCCCAAAGCCACGAATGATCTCCCCCAGCGGCTTTACATAAATATTGAACAAAAGGGGAGAGAGGACCGACCCCTGAGGCACCCCACCCCAGAATTCCTGAGCCAGAATGCAACATACTTCAATGCTGGGAGTTGAAGTCCAAATATTTTTTAAAGGATGCTGATTGAGGAATTTTGGAAGTTGAAGTCCAGATATTTTAATGCCTGCTGGTCAGGGAATTCTGGGAGTCGAAATTCAGATATTTTCAAAGATGCTGGTTGGAGAATTCAACTCCCAGAAGTCCAGACGCCTTAAAGCACGCTGGCTGGGGAATTCTGGGAGTTGAAGTCCACACTTCTTAAGGTTGCTAAGATTGAGAGTTGAGAAAGCACAACACGCTCCCACCTTAGCGTTCTTCTTGGAGACCGATTCCCCATCTCTGGCAGCTTCAAAGGCCTTGGCAGAAACAGGTCCAGAATTACCCAGAACTCTCTGGGCCTGTTTGATCTTCCTCTGGGTCTCTGGAATCCCCCTGCCCCGCACCGCAACCCTCTTCCTCTTGACCGCGGCACGGCCTTTAGGATCTGCAACCAGGGTCTTTATTCCTGCTGGCGAAAGGAGAAACCGGTCATCCTGTTTCAAGCTGGATAAAATAAGTCCCGGACAAGGAAAGGCTGAGACCGCAATTGGGACTGGAATTTCCGTGGCTGAGCAAGGCGTTTGTTAAGTGTGTGTCGCACCCCTTTTACGACCTGTTTCGCCACGGTTGTTAAGCAAATCACTGTAAAGTTGCAAAGTGAATCACACAGATTAGTCTCGGTTTACCGTCCAGTGTGGTCACCAAAGCCTTCGCCTCGGAAATCACCGCCTCTCCGTTGTCCAGGGAGGACTCGGCCGCTGTTCGTGCCTTGTTTGTTCTCTGCCGTAGCTGTGAACAAGATAAAAGCAAAATTAGGCTTAGAAAAAGTCATAACTGCAAACATTTCCTACAGATGACCAGCTCAGAGCTGCCCTGTCAATGCCTGAAAGCACAAAACCATCTCTAGGCATTCTCCAAATGCCTCAGAATCAAGTAGCTAGTCCTCAGTATGAAAAAATAGACACTCCACTTCCCCAACTGTCAGGACTACGCAAATTAGAAAGAAAGCGGTTTGTGGCACTTACCACGCTTCTTGAAATACCTGGGATGGGACATGAAAATATAGCCAAGATCTAACCAGGAATGCCTGCTTTTTGGTGTCAGACACTCCTTCAGTTGATTGTTTCTTTGCATCCTGGTTTGTTGTGCCAAATTTTGCTGCCAAATAAGGGCAGATCAAGCCGCAAAGCACTCACCTCTTCCAAGGGCCGAGTCCTCTGTAGCTCTTCCTTTAACCCAGTTTGGATAGCCAAGGATTTGTTGATTGCCAACCCATGTTTCGTTTCAACCAGTTGTTGAATTCCCTCTGCTTTTTGAACCAGATTTCCAGCTTTCTCCACCAGAGGACGCTGCAAGATCAGAAGCTGGGGATTTACCCAATCAAAATAAAAACTACTTCAAGAATTGGAAAGATCACTTTATTACTAGAATTATGACATTTGTAGGTTGCTAGGGTATTTTTGAGGGGGGGACACCATCTGAGCCCCCCAGAATAGCTTCTACCACCGGCATTCTAGGGAATTCTGGGAACTGAAGTCCAGACACGGATTTAGAAAACCCGGAATCAAACTGGAAAAAGCATCAACTGGATAAGAAATATAGAAAACGTGAGAGAAAATTGATTTCATGAACAAATGTAGAAAACCATCCTGTTATCAATGCTTACCAACGGCAAAGTATCTGTCTGCACCAGGGTTGCGTTGCTCTGATGCCCTGAAACCAGGATCTCAGCATCTTCCATTTGCAAAACAAGGTCTTTTTGGGTCCTTTCAATTTTCTCACCACTGCAAGGCAAACATTCTCAAATTATTGAGGCAATCTGCCAACTCACTTAAACGGTGGGCTTGTGAAACATATGACGGTTTGTTTCAGGGGCGGTAACGTCACCCTCATCTAATGTTCGTTCTCCTGTTTAGGACTTTCCAAAAAACCCCAAAGGAATTTCTCAGAATGTCTGGAGACAGACATCGGCAAGCTGAAGCCAAGAGACGGGGTCGTTCTAGACTCCGTGGACTACCAACACAGAAGACCCATGGGGCACAGCCTCAAGCATGTCGCCATCCTGGCCTGCACTAGCTCACCTCTCTTCCATCTCTCGCCTGAAGTCCTGCAACCTGCTGGCGTTCGCGACGTTTTTCAGAAGCCGGTAACTCAAACTGGATGCCACGATGGCTCGTTGGGCCAGGTCTTCCACCAAGGATGCCATTTCGACATGGCTGCAGAGAGGAAACACCCCACCTGGTGACTTTGGTGGTGCACATCTCTTAGGCCAGGGGTCCCCAACCCCCGGTCCAGTTGCATGCCAGCAACTGGTCCACACAAAGAAGCAAAGCCCCATCTGTGGGATGCAGGCATCACACAAAATCACGCACCCTCCGGTCTGTGGGAAAACCCCTCTCCACGGAACTGGTCCCTGGTGCCCAAAAGGTTGGGGATCTCTGTCTGGAGAGAGGAGGGTCTGTTCTTCTCTCTCTCTCTCTTCTATGGCCAGCGTGGCTGCCCTCCCTTCCCCGTCTGGAAAAGCCACCCCCCCCCAGGAAGAACAGCCCCCAGGATTGAACGGGAAGGTGAGAAGGCGAGGAGTCTGGAAAAAGCTGGAGAGAGGATTGTCCGTTTCCCCATCTCTTTGCAGCCTCCCTGGCTGCCCCTGGTCTTGAAAGGGCAAGTGTGAACGGTCACTAAACAGCCTGAACAAGGACGGGTTTAGCCTCTAGACTTACCTGCGGGCCAATTTGCCGGATCTGATCGCGTGGTGGCTCCAGTTTGTAGACAGGTAAAGAATCTCGGAAGAAAGTTCCTAGCAGGTGGAGAAAAAACAAAAACAAAAGAAGAAAGAAAAATTGTTCTATTGTTTCCGACTGAAGCTTGGGAGAGTTGAGGATAGTGGAAATAAACCTTTTGCGCTCTGAAAAGGTTAGGAAAATCCTCAAACAGAGACAAGGGAGGGAGCAACTGGTCAACATTTGTGCATTTTCTACGGGATTCAAGCATTTTAGTTCAAATTTCAGCCAGGAAAGCCTAAAGCATACTTCTCCTACAAACTCTGTGATCTATGATGGTTTATTCGTTGCTTATTTATTATGAAATAAGCAGGATTCAAAACTCTAAGCTGCAGCAGTAAGAGGATAACTGAGTATTTATTTTTTTTTAAAAAATCTACTTGTTTTTAAAAGTATGCTAAGTTCTGTTTAATATAATGGTTATTTGAGGGATTTTGTGGGCCGCTTTCTCTCCCAAAAAAACTCTCCCTCCCTCCCTTATTTTTTTTTTTTGCTATTATAAGATTTTATTTGTCATACATTTGATGGGGTGGATAAGAGACCCTTTTAGATCTGCTGCCATTGTTAAGTGAAACAGGTGGTTGTTAACTGAATTTGGCTTCCTTCATTGTCTTGGAAGTTGACTGGGAAGCTTGCAAATGACCCAAGGATCCTGCACCCATCCTAAACGCCTGTTGGTTGCCAACTGCCCAGATTTTGATCACATAACTGTGAGCATGCTACAATGGTCGTAACTGTGAGGATCAGTTGTAAGTCCCTTTTTTCAGTGCTGTTGTAACTTCAGTCACTAAACGAAAGGTTGTTAAGTCAAGGACTACCTGTATTGGGCAGCAATTTTTCCCCACGAGGTGGCGCCAGTTAGCAAACTTTGATTGCGTTGAAAAACTAACTAGGGCTTGTTGATTATAAATTAGGACTTGAAGATACATGAAGCTCCCCCGAAATAAAACTTAATAAACTGCTTCTTTATTCTGGCCAAAAATAAGGACGTGAACAGCCGTTGATTCAAGGGATTGTCCATAAAAAAATAAAATAAAAATAACGTGTAATTGGCGTGGTAAGCCAACTACAGAAAAATAAGTCGGTTTTGCTCGTTTGCAGCCACCATCGGAAGATAAATGAGTAACTTACATGTTAATCGCCTTCATTTGGCACTGGGTGGCAACGGCGCATAAATAAACAAGTGTGGACCCGTAATTTACAGCAGGCAGCAGGAGCCAATTTCACAGGAGTAAACACACGCAAATGATTGACAATTGGCTCTGCAAGTCAATTACAAATAAACAAACAAACATTTGCAGTTGGCATTGGAAAGCCCCTTGCAGAGGAGGGATGGATAAATAGAGACAGAGAAATAGAGAGAGAGAGATATGCCAGATGGATAGATGGATGGATGGATAGATAAATAGAAAGACTTATGAAAGAAGGTAGATGGGCGTGGAGAGATGGACAGATATTGGGTACCATGCTCTCCAGGATTTCAGTGGCCATCTGGATCTCCTCATGGGTGGACCGCAGGGTGGAAGATACATCAGAAAGGAGCCCACACATTTTGGTAGCCCGATGACCATCACAAGCGATGGTTCTGCTCAGCCGATGGAGGGCGTCTTCCACCAAGTCCTTCAGATCCGTCATCTTCTCCAAGAAAGCGGCTTGAGCACCTGCAACCAAGACATCATCGTTTGGGTGGATTCTCCTGATCCACGTTTCTCCTCAGATGATCCTCCTCCCGTTATTTTTACCTTCCCACAGGTAGGGATGCTCAAGGTTGTCTCCACGTGGGCTCTCGCCAAACACCGCGTGATAATATTTGGCTTTCGATTGGTCGCAGCTGGGCTTCTGGAACCAGGCTTCCATTTCGGTCAGCTTGTCCTTCAGTCTGTCTGTCTGTACAGGAAAGAAGTCCACGTGAGTCTGTCTTGGAGAAAAGACCTCACGTCTCTCTAAACATAACAGAGCAACAGAATAGGAAGGGGCCTTGGAGGTCTTCTAGTCCAGCCCCCTGCTCAAGCAGGAGACCCTATGACAAATGGCTGTCCAGTCTCTTCTTAAAAAACTCCAGTGATGGAGCATAAGAAGAAGAAGAAGAATGGAGAAGAAGCCATGCAGATAGGTGTATATTTAAGGCTGATTGACTTTCTGTTAAGGGGACTGGAAGGCTGATTAGGAAAGTTAATATTTCAATGAAACAAAAGGCTGATTGAGTGGGAGCGTTCAATTAATCTGCCTGAAAGGCAGATCAAAACAGAAAAACTTTGGCCAATGGGATCTTACCTCCTCTTTCACAAGGCTGTAGCAGAGAGGACATTCCTGGCACTGCTTACTTTCCAGGTCAAAGAAGTAGTTCACATCGCAGTGGTCGCACTTGCTACCCACAAAGCCCTTTTTACACACACAAGTGCTGTTGTCGTGGCACTGGAGGGAGACCGAGCCAATCTGGGAACAGTTGCAGGCTGGAAGAGAATGAAAAATAGTAAGTGTATTTGGAGGTGGGGCCATCACGGTGCCAGCAACCTTCAGTGGGTACAAAATAAAGGAGAAATAAAAAAATTAGAAGGAACCTTGGAGGTCTTCTAGCTCAACCCTCTATTCAAACAGGAGACCCTATATCATTTCAGACAAATAATTGTCCAATAACTTCTTAAAAACCTCCAGTGATGGAACACCCACAACTTCTGGAGGCAAGTCATTCCACTGATTAATTGTTCTCACCGTCAAGAAATTCCTCCTTAGTTCCAGGTTGCTTCTCTCCTCAATTAGTTTCCATCTGTTACTTTTTATCCTGCTTCAGGTGCTTTGGAGAATAGATTGAACACACACCCCCTATTCTTTGTGGCAGTCCCTCAAATATTGGAACACTGCTATCATGTCACCCCTAGTTCAAATGATCTTGGAAAGAAGAGCCTCGTTTTTTGAAGTTTATTTGGGGTTCAGAGGTTCCTAACCCTTCCCTCCATCTCTCCCACGATGGGTCAGTGAAGTCCTTTGCGAAGGGTAGAGATGCCTACCTTGGCAGCCTTGGGAAGAGAATCCAAAGAACCCAGCCTGGCACCGATTGCATGATAGCCCCACCACGCCGGGATGGCAGACGCATTGCCCTGTGATGGGGTGACAGATGTTGCTCTGGGCTCCCATGGGGTGGCACTGACATCTTGGGGGGAAGAGAGAGAAGAGGAGACGTTGTGTTTAATGCAATGTGATTCTCCTTGGATGGGAAGGTCACCAGCGGCCGAGTGTCATCTGGAGCAGCCTTCTTTAACCTAGCCAAGTTTAAGATGTGTGGACTTCAACGCCAGAGTTCCCCAGCCAGCATGTTTGTGTCCAACATTCAGAATTCTCCATCTAGCATGCAAGGACTTCAACTCCCAGAATTCTTCATTCAGCATGGGTGGACTTCCACTCCCAGAATTCCACGGCCAACATGCTTGGACCAACTCTGAAGTCCAACATGTTTGAACTTCAACTCCCAGAATCCCCCATACTGGGGTACTGGGAGTTGAAGTCCATCTATCTTAAAGTGGCCAAGGTTGAACACTCCACAGGACCAAACGGCACATGGTAATCCATAATCCCAATACATCAAAAACCACCCATTTGAAGGAAGTTGGGTTATGTACCCCCCCTCTCCCCCTACTGCTCCCCCCTCAATGCCACATCCATTACCTTCTGCACCCCACCCCTGGCTGTAGGTCAAAATAGCCTTCCAGGCACTGGGTGCACTCTCGTCCGGCTACATTGGGGAGGCAGCGACACTGACCCGAAACTGGGTCACAATCTTCTGGTCCATGGTCAGAGCCATTAGGATGACAGTTGCAGGCTAGGAAGAAAAAGAGAGAGAGAAGGAGTGTGAAAGAGAAGGAGAAGCGACCTGAGGCTGAAATGCAATCAAATGGCTAAAAAAACCTGCAGAATTCAGTCAGAATACAGCTGGAAGGGACCCTGGAGGTCTTCTAGTCCAACCCCCTGCTCAGGCAGGAGACCCAAATATTTGTCCAATCTCTTCTTGAAAACTTCCAGTGTTGGAGCAACCAAAACCTCTGGAGGCAAGTCGTTCCTCTGATTAATTGTCCTCACTGTCAGGAAGTTTCTCCTTAGTTCTAGATTGCTTCTCTCCTTGATGAGTTTCCATCCGTTGTTTCTTGTCTTGTCATACAGGCAGTCCTCAACTTATGACCACAATTGAGCCCAAAATTCCCATTGCTAAGCCAGGCAGTTGTTAAGTCAGTTTTAATCACTGGAATGGCTTCCCTCCAGAAGTTGTGGGTGTTCCAACACTGGAGATTTTTTAAAAAAAGATTGGATTTGTCTGGAATTGTATGGAGTCTCCTGCCTGAGCAGGGGGTTGGACTAGAAGACCTCCAAAGGGCCCTTCCAACTCTGTTATTCTGCTACATTCAAGAGATCAAAGGTGGTCTTGATTCGATCGCTCACGCTGTGGACCTCCTGCCATATCTTAGAAACCTTTGGGGTGGTTCTCTGGTTCAGCTGGAAGACTCACGGGCACACTTGGTGGCTGGGCTGGCATCCAGAGGGTTTCCATAGAAGCCCCCTTGGCACCTCTCGCAATGCTCCCCTGCAGTGTTGTACAAGCAGCGTAGACAACGGCCGGTGAGAGTGTCACAATTGCCCACTGCGTTGGGATCCGTGTTGCCACTACAATCGCAGCTGCTACAAGGGTGCTCTGATCCGTTTCGTCCCAGGGGATCCCCAAAGAAACCATCATCGCATAATTCACAGAGGCGCCCTGAAAAAGGCAAAGAGAATTGATGACGATGATGATGATGATAATGGATGATGAATTAGAATACTTTATTTGGCCAAGGGGGATTAGACCCACAAGGAATTGGCCTCCGGTGCAGACATTCTCAGTGCGCATTCAAAGCAACAGAGTAATAATAATAATAATCAGAATAGACCCCCCCCTGCTGTGGGGTCACCCACCTCTCTGTCCCAGGGGACAGTGTGTGCAGACCACTTCTCCATTGTCTACCATGGTTGTGCAAGGCCCTTGTCCCGGACACGGGCAGGCTTGGCAGTCATCCGGTTGCCCAAGAAAAGGGTTGCCGTAGAAGCCCAGAGCGCATCGCTCACAAGCTGGCCCTTCGGTGTTGTGCAGACATTGGCAGATACCTATGGAAGGAGGAGAGAGAGGAGGAAAGGGCAGAGAGACGGACATCTTAGAAAGATTTTCTCAGAAAGAAAAGCTCTTAGGAAGTATAATTTGTAGGAGATGACCTGAGGGAGGGGTCAAACGTGTCATCAGTCTCGAGTCCCTTCGCGCCCACAAGAGACGTGAATCCAGCCCTCCTTGAACTCTGTTGACTCTTATTTGCTGCCAATTTGCTTTGATCGTCAGTAGTTCAGATCGTTGTAGGGACCGATAAACCTGTAGTCTTGATAAACCTGCTGTGCTTACGGATTTATTGACCCTGGGAGGTAGGAGGAATTGCTGCAGACTAGGCTAGGGTCAGACAAGAGAGAGATGAGCTGAGAGAAGGAAAGGGGCGTAGGAAACATCTCAGAAGGGACCCTCCCTAGTTTCTCAGGATGTAAAAGATTTGGTGGGAGATTTGTACCTTCAGACTGGGAAGAGTCTGTTTAGAGAACTGTCAGATAAGAGACAACGTAGCCCAGAGCTGCATAATAGGCAGAGAAAGAAACCCAGAAAGGAACCTTAAACAAAACTTTACTCTCACCCGAATTAGCATCGCAGCTCCCATGTTGGTTGCAGCTACAAGGCACGCAACTTGCGAAGGGTCCACCCCAAGCAATCTCCCGTTGGTAACCCGGAGCACAAAACTCGCAAAATCGGCCTTGGTACCCCTGGGGGCAGAGACACTCCTCAACCCACGGAGCCCGCTGGGAGAAACCCGGATGAGCAGAAGCGAGTCGAACCTCCTTTAGCGCAATTCTGCCTGCAGAAGAAGAAACCCAGGTTATACGGTGAGAGTAAACATTCAGCTGCCTTCAGTCCAAAGGTAGTCTCTTAGCAACTGTTCAAAGTTGCGATGGATCCTAACAGATATTTACGACCTGGATTTGAATTTCTGGTAGCTCGTGATCAATGGGACCACATCGTGGTTTACCTTCTTCTGTTGTTCAGCTCACCTGATCTGGGTTTACTTTGAACTTGGATCCGAAGCATCGTCAGATTGGAAAGCATCCGCTGAAACTGGAAAGGCGACAGACCCAAACTCATGGCCTCTTCCGCCTCGTGCAACCTGCAACCAACCAACCCTGGATTGTAATCAGACAAAACTTGCAGAAAAGTCACCCGAGGGATTAACAGGTCCTTACTCAATCAAGGTTGTTTTTTTTTTTTTTAATAAAAACCTTTAATTCCCTTCTGCAGAAACCCTGACCCTTGCTGTTCTCTGGATATTTATAGCTTTCCACAAAGAAAGGGATGTAGCATTGATCAGCTCATCCTGCTGTTTGCCAGCAGCGGTTTAGAGTTAATTGAACAGCATCAAAGGGTATTGCAGTGCTCAGCATGATTATTGCTTTGTTAAAAAATTATATATCAGGTGGGCTGCTTTTATGAAGATGTCTGTGGTGTGTTACACATTGACAGGTCTGTTAAGGTGAGGTCCTTCACAGTCCAGCGTTTCGGTGCTCGGAGGGGTTGACTAGATGCCTCTGGGGTGCTCATAAGCAAGACCCCGATTTATCCTTCGATCAAGCTGAGAGAAAAGCAGACTGATACCTGAAGGACACAATCCGTTCTCTGCATGGGATGTCGTTCCTTCTTTCTTCCGGGTTCTTGTGTCTTGCTAATAAAGAGACGCCATTCCCTTCCAAAATTAACTGGACGGAAGGAGAAGAAGCATCTGTTGTGTTGTCTTCGAAGTGAAGGACCACCGAGAGCAACTGGCCGTAGCTAAAACGCTGATTGCCTAGAAATTTCTCTAAAGCAGTGGAGAGGCAAGAACAGAAAGGAAAGAATTATATAATGCAAGGAATTACAGGTAGTCCTCAAAATTTCAGTTGCTAAATTGTTAAGTGAGCTTTGATCCATCTTATGAACGAGGTTCATAAGATTGGACAGCCATTTCTCCGGAATATTATAGCATTTCTGCTTGAGCAAGGGGTTCGACTAGAAGGGCCCTTCCCACTCTGTTATTCTGCATTCTGCAATCTCCTAGTGGTGCCCTATCCAACTATTAGTCAGATCCAACTGGGCCTAGTTTAGCAAGGAGCTGTCCTACCTGGGGCCTCAAATCCAGTAACCTCCTGTTCATTTTGGTCTACGAAGATGACGTCTCCATCCCAGCGTAGAAAAACATCTTGCCCTTCTGAGTTTTCTGCTTTCCAGCTATCAAGTCCTGGATTAAGAAAATGGGGAAAAAAATAGCAGCCAGCATGACCACATTCATCTGGTCTAAACCGATCCTTAGCATCCTTATTCATGGAGAGCAGAAAAGATTGCATCTTTAATTACATGTCATTGAAAGACTGCAACGCTTTTATTTTTTTTTAAAAAAAAAAATACAATTATCCCGCGCTTTAAAAACTTTGCCCTTAAGTGGCCAAGCAAAAATAAGTTGAATTTCCCATGCTAAGCAGAGACAAAGGTTAATTCTGCTACAAACCCAAGAACGCATTAAAATTAATGTGGCAATTCACATTCCATTTTAAATATAATCAGGATGGATTTTAATAGGATGGTGTTTCACACTCCATCTGTACAACCCCTCCCCCCCCACACACACAGGGGTTGTCTGTTTGTTTTTAAAGGCAAAGCTACATGGCCCCACTTATACTAAGCTAAGACATGAATGATCCAGACGTTTTAAGAATTCTGCAAAGAGTAATTGGCCCAAATGTTTTTCATAGCAGCGTAGGGATTTAATAGTTCAGATAATAGATCTTTTGGGGACCTTCAGCTGAATGAAAGGGTATCCCAATTCCCAGGGATGGTGTGGTGTGCCCCAAAATCCTCCACAGAGAACATCTGCGACAGCTGTGTCTCAAATTCAGATTTCTTTTATCTAATTGCTGATCTGATACCAGTTTTTCCTCCTGTTCCTTGATAGATGACAGACAGACAGACAGACAGACAGACAGACAGAGTAGATAAATGTTAGTCTTTCAAGACAGACCAGAAAATGAAACCAAAACCTTGCAGCCCACCTTGTCTGAAGTCAGAGACAATGTCACGGGGTTCATATCCTGGAGTTGTTGTGCAGACGGTTGAATGTCCATAGCAGAAACAACTTGTACATCCCTCTGGGTTGTGAGGTTGTAGGTTAAAACTGCCAGGCTGACATCTGTGTGAACAAAACCATGAATGAGGCTCCTTCAGGAAAACAGCCTCATCCCTTTGTAAAATTAAAAGTCGCCTGCCCCAACCTAGTAAAAAAAGAAGATTGTTAACAACAATAACAACAACATAAGTGGACAATCTTTAAACACCGGATCTTCAATTTTGCGTGGTATTCCTCTTTTGAGGCCTGCCAGATGCTCTACCACCCACCTGCTTTTATTTTATTTATTATGATTTAGTTCCTTGGGTTTCTCTTCCAATTGCATTTTAATTAGATTCCTTTAAATAAAAAAAAATAAACACGGAACTATTTGCTAAGTAAAGCTTCAGTCTCTAGAATCAAAATACCTCCTGCTGGTGCAAAAGACAATTCCCCCTCCCCAAAAAATATAAATGAGGTAAATAGATGAAACTTTGCTTGTTGAGAAGAGAACTGACTTGCCCATAAAAACAAAATGGAAAACAATGTTCTAAGGATAAAATATTAAAGAAATCCAGAGGTTTTTGTTTTTCCATGACCAGATGTTCCAGCTATTTGTGTGTGAGTGTGTGTATGAGAGAGAGTGACGTAAATTTTCTAAGAGGAACTATGTGGAACATTAAGTAGCTCATGATGTTCCAGAAGTAATCTGGATGTCAACAGTTAGTTCAACTATTAAATGGTGGATACTGTCCAACAATTTTCTTAGCTATTCAACCCAATTTTCTATTTCTTCTACTTTGACCCCCTCTATTGATGGCTTCTCTGATGGGAGACCATGATGGTGATCCACATCTTGTCTTCTCTCTTCTCTTCCCTGCACTGAGTCCTTATCACCACTTGTGAAGGGTCTCCCAAATCTGTAGTCCTGTGCAATCATTCTCCCGACACACAACTTTTACTGACAGTAGAGAGTGGCTATGCTCACTCTCTAACCCTCCTTCATTCTACAGTGTAGCTTTTGATGGGGAAAAATCCTGGCCCCCAAATTTTAACAAGAACCTCTACAGATTAAAGAAGAACCTCAAGAGGGATCAGAGAATGGTTTAAGCTGGAGAAATGGTGCTGTGTTTCAGGACCTTGGACAGCTCCACACAGTTAGAACACGTTGTTCTAACAAGGGATGGATGGATAATAGTTTGAGGCCAATTGGTTTGGTCCCTTCCAAGTGTCAAGTTTTTTAAACTCTAAATTGCGCTCCCCACATTTCACCTTTTTCCATCAAAATTTGGCAATGCAATGAGGGCTGTTTTGGGGCCTTCCGTTACGGTTGCCTCTTCATCTATTTACTTACAAATTTAAAAAATTGTTGTCCTCAGTAGCATCAGTGGAAACCACACAAAGAAAACAGCAGATTCTGTCAAGTTACTTATGAAAAGGAAAAGAGGGGTGGATGAAAAGGAAGAGAAGAGGTTTCAGCTTACAAACATTTCACTTACTTGTTGCACAGATAGCCTTCCACTTTTTTCTTGCACTTACAGTGCCCTGAATTGGGGTCACACATCCCCAAACTTCCAGCAAAGTTACAAGCGCAAGGTCTGAGAAAACAAAGGTGGAGGTTTCATATCAGCATCTACACATTACACAACAGAGCAGATGACTTTTCCATTCTGACTTCCTTGGTTCTCACCTGCACCCTCCTTCACTCAGGGAATGAAATCCTTCTTGGCATCGCTCGCACTTCCAGCCTGTTACTGTCACTTTGCACTCACACTTCCCTGTAGCATCACACTGAGGATTCAAAGAACCTAGGAAGACAGAAGGAATAAGAAGACAATGGAAGGAATAAGAAGAAGACAGAAGCAATAAGAAAAAGTCAGAAGCAATAATGAGAAGACAGAAGGAATAAGAAGAAGACAGAGAGAATGAGACAGAAGGAATAAGAAGAAGACAGAAGGAATAAGAAAAAGTCAGAAGCAATAATGAGAAGACAGAAGAAATAAGAAGAAGACAGAGAATGAGACAGAAGGAATAAGAAGAAGACAGAAGGAATAAGAAAAAGTCAGAAGCAATAATGAGAAGACAGAAGAAATAAGAAGAAGACAGAGAATGAGACAGAAGGAATAAGAAGAAGAAAGAAGGAATAAGAAAAAGTCAAAAGCAATAATGAGAAGACAGAAGGAATAAGAAGAAGACAGAGAGAATGAGACAGAAGGAATAAGAAGAAGACAGTGGGAATAAGAAGACAATGGAAGGAATAACAAGAAGACAGAAGGAATAAGAAGAAGACAGAGGGAATAGGAAGACAGAAGCAATAATCAGAAGACAGTAGCAATAACAAGATTACCCAATCTTAGGCTTCCATATCCATCCAGTCTTGATTAAATCTGGAAACCCATTAAATAAAGAAAAGGAGGACAAGGAGAAAAAAAGTCAAAGGGATTTGCCTGCCTCTTGAAGTATGGAGGCTCCATCACTAGAGGGTTTCAAGCAATGTCTGGATAGCATTACTCTGTGTTCTGCTCAGAATTGGAAGACCCTCATGTTCCCTTCCAAGCTTAGGATTCTGTGACATGCAAATAAAAAGAATTTGTTTTCCATTCCTATGGAATGGAATTCTTGTGGAAGATTAATGATGCTACTATTTCCCTTGCCTGCTTCACCCTTCCCAGTAATACAAATTATTGTCCCATCTTCCCACCACCCTACCTGCTTGGTTGCAGTTGCAGGGTTGGCACGCCATCTGATCATCCCAACGATAAAAATTGGGCCGACAGTATTCACAGTGAGGTCCACCCGTGTTGTCCCGGCAGTTCACGCAATGACCACCATGCCCGGTGCGCCGGTACAGTTCCCAGTCATAATAGCATTCCTCTGACCTACCGCTACAGTTGCATGCTGGATAAAGACAGGAAAAAAGCATCATGGATAGTTTTCACTCTCCTGAAGCTAAGCCTTGTTGCCTAACTTCAGATTGAATCCCCTTGGTATCCAACTGTTTTGAAACTCATTGAATCTGGGACTCAATGCATTTTGATATGAAAATTTTGTCCTGATACTCATTGTTCATTTGTTACTCAACGCACAAGCTAGAACTTGTCGGTGTTGGCTGCCTTGTGACTCACTACACTATGGGAGAAATTTGTTTGGTGCTCATTATTTTTGGTACTCGTTGTGTCTCCCGGAATGAATTAATGATGAGTACCAAGGTACCACTGTATTTGCAGATATTAGAGAATCTATGAGCACTGGGGTCATCCTGTGTCAATATTTCTCTGCCTAAAGAGATAATCACCACAGGTCAGCAAAAAAGCAATAGATGAGGGAATGACTTTTGACTTCCTGCTGGCTTCCCCATTGACATTTCATGTAGGAAGCTAGCAGGGAATGTTGGAAATCACAATCACATAACTGTGAGGATGCTGCAGTGGGTACAACGTTGTGAATAAAACTGGTCTGAACATCCTGGAAAGTTCAATTCCCACAGGAACAATGGGTCTTGGATTTTTTAAAGGTTTTTTTTTCTCCTTAAGTTGGTGATTTGAGGTACCTGGATACAAAAATTGTTGCCTGGTGTACCGTTTCAGCTAACTGAAGATTACAAACAGACAGAAGAGCCTCAGTACTGGGAAAGCTTTAAAGAGTTTTTAAAAACTATGCAAATGTTAAGAAATGAAATTAGGCTGCCTTGATGTATTTTCTGCCCCGTTGTGACTCAGTAGCGACACACAATTTTGCTATGTTTTGTGTGTCAGCTGATACAAGCTGGTGGGAATGAGCTGCTTGTAAGAGTTGAATGGATACCCCCCCCCCAAAAAAAAGAAAACCAGCCAGGGGGAACTTACGAAGGCATTCGTTGGGTGACTCAGCGGTTCCCCTTGCCCAGGGGCGGTCTTGATAGAACGGCTGGCATATCTCGCAGTCCACCCCGGTGGTATTGTGTTCACAGAGACAAACCATCCGGTCCTCTTCATTAGGGATGCATTCGCTGGCATGCCCATTACACTTGCATCTGGCAAAGGCACAAGAGGCAGCTGTTTGAGAAGGGTGGCCCCACTTCTTCACGGAGAAGGAATCTATGGTCACAATGGCTGGACCCCACCCATGGATTAGGTCTCGCCATCCTCAACCAAGACTGTAACCAATGGGTTACTCTTCTTGAACGCTCCTACTTACTGAAACACTACTCCATCCTATTTCTTCTCTAGCATTACTCCAACCTACTCTAGCAGTGCTACTCCATCATTACTCTAACCTTCTCCAATTCCTACTCCAGCTCCTACTCCAACAGTTCTACTCTACTCCCAGCTTATTTCTTTCTATGACAACCTACTCTTGTTCCAACGCACACCAAGCTATCCCTACTCCAGCCTACTCTGATCGATTCTAGCATTCTGCTCCAGCACTAATCCAACCTAGCCTACTCCACCAATTTACTTTAATTATTGTTCTCCTCCAGTTGGTTTGTAATTTCCTTCTTATATCACTGGGTGTAATTTAATACGGCCCTGGGTTTAATTACCTTCAGAAATTGTGGGTGAAATGGTCACACACCCAGTGTCTACCATGCCCCCTCTTTCCGAATGTCATCCCTTGGTCAGGAGGAACACACAATCAGCAAAGTTGGAGACAAATCAAGTTGTGTGGTATCCTTGCAGAGCATCACTCTGACCCGTACTTTGGGCTAGGGGTCAATAGCCTTTTTTAGCTGATTAAAAAATTCCAGCTTTCTGAGATGATTGAGTAATAAAAGCAGGGTGGTCCTGGTTAGGATTTTATGAGACATCTATTTCCTGCAGGACACTATTCAGGACTCCGGCTAAGCCACGGGCAGTGAAAATTAGCAAGGAAGAAATTTAAGAAAGAAAGGAAGAAAGAAAGAAAGAAAGAGAAGAAAGAAAGAAAGAGAGGGAGGGAGGGAGGGAGAGAGAGAGAGAGAAAGAAAGAAAGAAAGAAAGAAAGAAAGAAAGAAGAAAGAAAGTAAAAGAAAGAAAGAAAGAGAGAGAGAGAGAGAAAGAAAGAAAGGAAAAAAAAGAAAAAAGGAGAAAGAAAGAAAGAAGAAAGAAAAAAAGGAGAAAGAAAGAAGAAAGAAAGAAGAAAGAAAGAAGAAAGAAAGAAAGAAAGAAAGAAAAAGAGAAAGAACGAAAGGAGAAAGAAAGAAAAAAGAGGAGAAAGAAGAAAGAAAGAAAGAAAGAAAGAAAGAAAGAAGAAAGAAAGAAAAAGAAAGAAAGAAAGAAAGAGAGAGAGAGAGAAAGAAAGAAAGAAAAAAAAAGAAAAAAGGAGAAAGAAAGAAAGAAGAAAGAAGAAAGAAAGAAAAAGAGAAAGAACGAAAGAAAGGAGAAAGAAAGAAAAAAGAGGAGAAAGAAGAAAGAAAGAAAGAAAGAAAAAAGAGGAGAAAGAAAGAAAGAAAGAAAGAAAGAAAGAAAGAAAGAAAGAAAGAAAGAAAGAAAGATATTCTGAGCAGACTGCTGGGGGATATCTCCCTTCCTTCTCTCTGCCCCAAGGGAAAACGTCCATCATATTTAATTTGCCAGGGGTAACACACCTCATTTAAAAACCCCACAGCGTGCCGAAGCGTCGAGACCACCTAAGAACCCAAAGAAAATATATGTCCTCTCTTCCCAAGCGTAGCAAACACGAAATATATTCAACGAGGCTCTGGCAGGGAAAGGAAAGGAGCCTTTTTAATGAAAAATGGCCACCGTTTAATCAATTTTATGAATGGGAAAAGCGACGGGGCTCATGGACGCCGCAATTCGTTCAACTTGGATGAGGGATGGGCTGTGACCGCGGTTTAGTGGGAAAATAATGAACTCGGGGGAAAAAAAAGAAGTAATTGCAATTTCTGCTCCAGAGAATCCTTGACTTTCATCCACAATTGAGCCCTTGCTAAGCGAGACAGTTGTTAAGCCAGCTTTGCTCTGCTTTACGACCTTTTCTTGCCACAGTTGTTAAACGAATCGCAGGAGCCGTTAAGGAAATCATGCTTCCCCATTTACTTGGCTTGTCGGAGGCCGGCTGGGAAAGTTCACACGAACATGGGCGCTGCAACTGTCACAAAGACATCCCAGTTGCTCTGGATTTTGATCACCTGATCACCTGCACCGGTCGTTAGTTGTGAAAAACGGCCCTAAGTCACTTTTTATAACTTCAGTCACCAAACAATTAGTTGTAAGTTGAGGAATATCTACATTTTAAATGGCTGGATGTCTCCTCTGACTAATCTTTCTTCGTCTGGCTGATTTTTCTAACGTTATTTCAGGTAGACTTTAATTGTGCGTTATAACACTTTAATCACACTTTAATGCCTTACTCCCTAATCAAGCCTAGGGATAGAATGTCTCCCTCACTGTCAGCTTATGGGCATCTTTGCAGACATGTTTTATTGAACGTTTCTGCTTAAATATGATTTAACCAGGCCCTGGTGGATTACGTCGACAGGCGTGCCCCGTGAAATTTCAATATCTCAAATGAGAGAGACTTAATCTTTGGGCAGAGGGGCATTATTTATTTTGCTTAAAACCAGCGTAGAATCTACTGAATTTCAGGTTTGAAGTGGAAGACAAAAACGCCACGGCAGATTTAATACAGGAGACGGGAGGTTAACAACAACGAGGAAACTTCCTCAACGTAAATGAAAAAAAGATAAGGTAGAGAATTCCCTCCCTGGCGTGTGAGGGAAGCCTTTCCAAGAAAACCAATTTATCAAAAGACGATCCACCCAACATTAAAAGAAAAAGATAGTAATTCTAGATTGTGACCATAGGGATGCTAAAGCATCATAAGTGTGAAAAATGGTCACTTTTTTCAGTGGCTTTTTTCCACTAAGCTAAGAGCTTCTGTACGTAAGCAGAGAGAAAGTCCCCACTCCCTTCTAGCATTGATGATGTCCCCTAGCTGGGTCATGAAACGCCTGCAAGAAAACCACCAAGCTCAGAGAGCACCAAGGACCCCACAGTTCAACCCACCCCGAGTTATAAATATTCTCTTCTATTGATAAAAGTTGTCTCATGCCACCCCCAAAATTACTCAGAGACTTCCTCTTACAATGTTTCATCTTACCTCCCTCCGACCGAGAAGTCTGAAATGGCGTAGTAGTAAGATTGAAGCACTTTAGGGTCTTTGAAGATGTCATCCCCGAAGGTGTTAAGGCGATCCAAAGAAATCAGCAAATCCGTACAGGTCACCCATTCCTGCAGAATAATAACAATATTGGAGGCAACACACTGGTCTGGCATGGACGCTTGCAAAAGAGTTGAGGAACATCTATAAGAACCTTTTCCAAGTCTGCTATCCAAGATCCTTTAAACTGGAGATGGCCACGTTTGAATTATGAATTCTTCGTGTCTTTTTGTGGCTTTCCCAAACCAATTTGGAAAGAAGAGAAGAGTTTTGGAGGCCTCTAAAGACAGCCTCTTTACATCTTACTTCTTCCTTTGGTGTTTAATGGAGGTTGGGGAACCGCGAGAGCTGTGAAGATCTGGAGAACCTGTCCACCAAGAACATCACCAGAGAACTTCTCAGATGTGGTGAGTAGTTTACTTGAGAGTGGAACTTTTCAATAGTAGCCCTCTGAATTTGGAATCAGACGTTTCACTCAGGTTCCACTATCTATATTGCCTTTAGGGCACCGGGCAAGACCATTTTAATTTTTCCGGATTTTCTAATGATGACAAAAACATGTCAATGCATTCGTGTGGGATCGTCTTTAATTTGAACATTGCTTTTATTCAATTGCTAATTTTATTGCTGTTTAGCTTTGGAAACTGTTCAACCTTTCGACGGAGGATTTGGTTGACTGTTTTAATTTTGGGGGGGTTACTTATTTATTTATGTAAGCAAAAGGCAGGGAGAATTGCATTAGGATTCTTCTACCTGCCTGATTTTTAATACCTGGAGGAGAGGACTTTGGTCAAAACTGTAGGCACTGGGCCGGCCTTCTAATGTGGAGAAAGCCACGTTCCCACCACTCAGAGGGGAGATGTCGCTGAATTCGTCCGTGCACAAGGCCACTTGCTCATGTTCTCCAGATCTCAAAAACTGCCGTTCTGGCTTTCCGTAGGTCTTCTTGCAAGAGGCACTGTAGAACTGATATGGGATCCAGGGTCCATCAGCCTGACTCCTTTTGTAAATGGCAAAGCTCTCTGGACGGCTGGTGTGGAATTTCAACCTCACGTAGGTGATTTCATAAGACTTCCCTAAAGAGGAGAGGGGAAAAATAAATAAATTAAATCCCAGGAAGGAAACGATTCAGGGTAGGATGAGGGTCTTTTCAACTTCCTCCCTTCAAGGTCATTATAGAACACAGAAGAATAGGGGTTGGAAGGGACCTTGGAGGTCTTCTAGTCCAACCCCCTGCTCAAGCAGGAGACCCTATACCAAATGGCTGTCCAATCTCTTCTTAAAAACCTCCAGTGATGGAGGAGTGCCCACAACTTCAGGTGGCAAGCCGTTCCACCGATATTTCTACTTAATTCTAGGTTGGATCTCTCTCTGATAAGTTTCCATCCGTTATTTCTTGTCCTGCCTTCAGGTGCTTTGGAGAATAGCTTGACTCCCTCTTCTCTGTGGCAACCCCTCAGATATCGGAAGACTGCTATCATGTCCCCCCTGGTCCTTCTCTTCGTTACGCAGGATACCTGTATTAGGAAGAGTTCCTCTCCTCTGAGTTTTCCACCCCTATTAAAGTACTCCGCCTTTGCTTTCTTTATTCTGTGATTTCCTCTGTTGAGTGCACTCCACAGATGTCTACTCAGAAGTAAGCACCTTCCCCAGGAGGAGAGGCTCATAAATATTGATAGTATTGCAGATGCACGGGGGATTTGTTATGCTAATGTTTGATTCTGTCCTCTGAGATGTTTTCTCAAAGTGGTGGCAATTCTGTATAAATGTTTTGCTGATGGATTTTTAATTTGAGAACTGTTGCAAACCATCGCTTCCTTCCGTTAGAGAAACAACACTCAGCAATGTTTACAGCAGCAGCAGAAGCAACAAACAGCTTTGTTTTCAATTTGACACCTTTATGAGGTGCTGGAATGTCAGGTCCCAGAATTCTTAGCAATGCTTTGCCAAAGAATTCTGGGAAATCAGGAGTTCAGATGTCAGAGAACCTGGAGATGTGATCAGCAAATTTCACTGCAACTTCCTCTTTCCATTTTTACAGGCAGCTCCTCCATTCCTTTCTTGGACGTTTCTCAGCGAGCTGGGCTCACAACCTTGCTATAAAAACAAGCTGCAAATCTAGTTTTCCCACCACTATCTTTTCCATCTGAACTGTAATGTTTATTTCTTTGCCCTGGCTTCTTCTTCTCCGGATCAACAAACAAAGGAATCCTGTCCAAAGAAAGGATCTGTTGTTGCAACCAGTCACAGCCATGGCTTGCCAGAGAAGAATGGAAAGTTAGAATTCTCATTTGGATCCTGCCCATATATGTGTGATTTTGATGGAACCAGGAGCTGACTTGGTTGTCAAAGGGCAAAGTGTGTATGTGTGTGTTTGGGCAGCCTGCAAAAGGAGGGGGGAAAGAAGTTGAGAATGTCGAGGCTCTAGAAAGAGTGTAGAGAAGAGCAACAAAGACGATTAGAGGGCTGGAGGCTAAAGCATAAAATGAATGGTTGCAGGAATTGGGTATGTCCAGTGAAGAGAAGGATTGGGGGGGACATGATAGCAGTCTTCCAGTATTTGAGGGGTTGTCACAAAAAGAGGGGGGTTCAACCTCTTCTCCAAAGCACCTGAAGGCAGAACAAGAAGCAACGGATGGAAACTAATCAAGGAGAGAAGCAACCTAGAACTAAGGGGAAAGTTCCTGACAGTGAGGACAATTGACCAGTGGAACGACTTGCTTCCAAAAGTTGTGGGTCCTCCATCACTGGAAGTTTTCAAGAAGAGACTGGACAGCCATTTGTCCAGAATGGCATAGGGGGTTGGACTAGAAGACTTCCAAGGCCCCTTCCAACTCAATTATTCTATGTTGTAAGTTCTATAAACAAATCAGATCAGCTAAATTTTATTTTCATGTCTGCCAAACTAGAGGTATTGAACTGAAAAATATCTAGTGCTGGTGTTAAGCAATTTCATGACTAAGTGTGTTTTGTAAATTTAGTGTCTGGTTGATTTAGGACTTAATATATTCTATCAACAGGAAAACAAATTAAACCAATAAACAGGTTAACTGGGTTCATATGAATTAAACCAGTGTTAACAATATTGGACAACTGAATACAAGACACAACAAGATTTTTCTAATCTGCTTTCTTTAGAATTATGTTCACAAGCTACTTTAGGTCATCTCATGTTCCTAATGCTTTTAAATTAATTTTAGCGTGTTCTGCAAATGCAACTATTGTGATTAGCAAGCCACTGTTCATGGCTTAATGGACTACATGAAAGCCATAAAGGCTAATTCCATAAACCATGGTTAAAAGAAACCATTATTCGCTGCAGTGTTATGCCCAGCCGTGTCTGCTTCAATAACATTAATCAGAAGCAGATCAATTCTTTTTCTGGAAAGAGATCGTTTAATCTGGTTTGCTTTTTTTTAAAACCAGTCTCAAAGCAATTTATTATTTTTTAGGAAAGACTCTCTCCATGAAGAGCTGATGGTTCAAGGCACAACATCACACATGATGTCCAAAGCAGAACAATTAACGAATAGGCAAGGCGGTAAGGAGTCTAAACTATTATGGAAAAATGGCAGTTATTCTGGGACACCCACTCAAGCAAAATTAAAACAAGCCTTAATTACACCCATATGAACGTTGTCTGTGGAGGAGGAGCTGGGCTGACGCAAAAGGGCTGCAGGGTTAAGTGTGTGGAGTTATTCAACAACTCCATCAAGGAGAAATGTCAACATCTGCCATGGATCAGGAGAAAAGAAGGGAGGGAGATGTTTCTTGTTTCCACCAAGAAGACACCCAACAGCTATTTTTTCCAACCATTATTGTAGGATGCAGGGAAGAGGGGATGAAGAGAAAAGACAGTGGTTTGCAAATATTTTTGGAGAGGAAGAGGAGGTGAAAAGGAAGGAGAAGGAGAAGAGGAGGAGAAGGAGAAGATGAAAAGGAAGAAGAAGGAGAAGAGGAGAAGAGAAGGAAGGAGAAGGAGAAAAGGAGGAGGAGAAGGAGGAAGAGGAAGAGGAGAAGAATATGAAAAGGAAGGAGAAGGGGAAGAAGAGGAGAAGTTAGAAGCCCAAATCCAGGAAAAAAAGTAGCTGGGGGTTGCATTAATTCTCTTATACTCTCCTTCCTTCCTTCCTTCCTTCCTTCCTTCCTTCCTTCCTTCCTTCCTTCCTTCCTTCCTTCCTTCCTTCCTTCCTTCCTTCCTTCCTTCCTTCCCTCCACCTATTCTGGTACAGACCTAAGCAGTGGGCTGTCGAAGTGAGCAAATGGATCTTGTCTGAATCCCCAGACTGATCTCCCGCAGTGAGCTTTTGAAATGAGGATCTGAGGAATCTCCAGCTATTTTTACTCCTTAATGAATCACAGATCTGCAGAAGCAACTTTTTAAAAATTAGTTCCCCTTCAGGAAGGGACTTGGCGACGGAGCCAGCAATATGAGCCACTAAAACACTTTTAAGGACCTGTTGGCTCAGCTTGTAGGAAGCTACCCCTATCTCCTCGCCTTGGTCAAGCTGCCAGAGAACGAGCAGCGTTCGCGACTCCCACGTTGCTTCAGCCTGACGGTTTTCATTTTGGCTGTTCCAGAAAATCTTCAAGGTCCCACCAGGTCACCGCTAAGAGACTTAGCGTCCTCCCATGAGATCCAAGAAAAGGCCAAGAGCGTAGAAGTGTAAGAGTCTGGACCCCAAACTCAACAACCTCCCTCTGGTTTTTCATCCCAAGCAGGAAGTTCTCTCAATTTGGAACAGATGTTGGCAAAATCACAGGAGGCTGAGAAAACAACAGAGAGATTCTCTTTTCAGAGAGAGAGAGAGAGAGAGAGAAAGAGAGAGAGAGAGAGAGAGAGAGAGAGAGAGAGAGAGAGAGAGAGAGAGAGAGAGAGAGAGAGAGAGAGAGAGAGAGAGAGAGAGGGAAGATGCTGATCTCCTAGAAAGAGTGCAGAGAAGAGTAACAAAGATAATTAGGAGGAGTCTGGAGAATAAACGGTATAGTGAACGGTTGAGGGAACTAAGTATGTCTAGTCTAACGAAAGGAAGGACTAGGGGTGACATGATAGCAGACTTCTAATATTTGAGGAACTGTCCCAGAAAAGAGGGGGTCCACCTATTTTTCAAAGCACCAGAGGGCTGCTGCGTGTGGCTTGTTATTTGCAGCTCTGAGCTTGGTTGTTGGTTTGTAGACGTTTCACGACCCAACTAGATAACATCATCAGTGTTCATAACTCATTCATTATCATCCATTCATCTTTCAGGCTGTTTTTTACCCAGTTAAGAAACATCATCACTGTCCATTCATTGAAAGCATGCTGGCTGGGGAATTCTGAGAGTTGAAGTCCACCCATCTTAAAGATGCTGGCTGGGGAATCCTGGGACTTAAAAGCCCACCCGTCTTTAAAGTTGCCAAGTTTGAAAAAGAGTGCTCCAGAGGAGCCACAAACCAGGAGGAATCTGAAAGCACCTTTTCACCATTCATTGCATTAAAAAGCACCGGCTCCCTTCATCCCCTGCCAATCGGAGAAACCCAATGCTTTTAATAAAAGCACAATCATTTGAAACCTGCCATCTGGTCCCTTCTGATCTTCCCTGCAAAAGGAAGTCACAGATCAAAAAGAAACAAACACATTTGCAGCTGTGCGCTGGGAGACGATGAATCCCCCCCCTTCCCCGACTCACCCAAGTGCAGAGTGATGTTGACAGAGGTGGGGTGCTGAACCCCAAATGCCATGGACTGACTTTGCCACCAAGTGGGCTCTTCCTGGCTGTGGAAGTCGGTCAGGTAGGAGGCATTGTGGTGCAGCAAAGGGTCCGCCGCGTCGCAGCGGTGGCACAGGATGTTGGATTCTCGCGTGCCCATCTGCAAGCAGTAGGTTTCGGGGGGCCAGCCACACGTGTTGGAGGCTGGAGGCTGGCGCCCAAAAGCTGCATTCTCGAAAATGGGCATGCAACGCTGGGCACGGCCTTGGGCGTTGTAGCAGGCGTCCATGGCTCCTGTGGTCGGGCGAAAGAAGACGACAAAAGCCAGAGAACAAAGCAGCCGCTGTGCCATGATGGGTCTGGGAAGAATCTTTGTGATGTCTTGTTTGCACAGTCCCAGCCTCTGAAGCTCTCTCCTCCTCCTCCTTCACAGAGGATGGGGAAAAACAATTTCCCAGTGGCGGGATCCTTCTCTCTCTCTCTCTCTCTCCCATTCACTTCCATCTTGTGGACGGAATCAGGAATGGCCTTGTTTGATCAGAATCTCTCTTTCTCGGGAACAAATAAGCTCCTTCAAAAAGAAGGATTTGTTCTAGCTGGGTGGAAAAGCAGAGAGACACACACTTTTTCCACCTTCTTTGCACAGATGGGGGGGAGGGGGAATGGGGGGAACACAGGCAAGAGGGATGCACAAATTAAGCCCGCCAGAAGACTTGGGGAAAGTTGGCGCCCGAGGGATAGTTTTATATGCAACAGCAAGAGACAAAGACCAAATGTGCATTTGTGGGATTGGGGTGGCTGAGGATTGATTCTGGGTGCAAATATCAAGTTTAGTGTTTCCTGGAATTGCACAGCTGCAAATTGTCAAGTTGAGGGGGTTCTCCCAGCCCAAACTTCTTCACAGGTTTCTTGTGAAGGGGAAGAAATGCTCCAGACTTTTTCCATGTGGTCTAATCTTGCATCTAACATTCTATTCTATTCTATTCTATTCTATTCTATTCTATTCTATTCTATTCTATTCTATTCTATTCTATTCCTATTCCTATTCTATTCCTATTCTATTCTATTCTATTCTATTCTATTCTATTCTATTCTATTCTATTCTATTCTATTCTATTCCTATTCCTATTCCTATTCCTATTCCTATTCCTGCCTTTATTTTTACAAATAACCCAAGGTGGCAAACATATCCACCCCACCTTCCTTCTCCTAATTTTTCACAATAACAATCCTGTAAGGTGGGCTGAGACAGACCAGATCAAAGTCCAGACACCTTTCATGCCTAAAGCAGGATTAGAACTCACCATCTTCTGGTGAGTCTCCCAAAGTCACCCAGCCAGCTTTCATGCTGCCTAAGGTAGGACTTGAACTCACTGTCTCATGATTTCTAGCCCAGTGCCTTAACCATTAGACTAAACTGGTTTCTTACCCATTAATATTGGGCAAATCTGCAGAGGTACACACATACTTTTATAACAACAACAATAATAAAATACCCCAGAGTAATGCACAGTAGTTAGTCCCAGGGAGGCACTTTTCTGATGTCAGAATCAAAATAATCCTTGACATTTCCAACTCTTGTTTGGGTGGTGCAAGGGCTGTCTTAAAAAAACTTGCAAGAATCACTCCCTATTGTAGATGGCAGAAAGAGAATATGTCCGTAGCTCCTAGCAGAGTCTTTTTTCCCCCCCCTTTGTAAATTGAGTTTGTTTCCTACAAGGAAAAGCTGAGGGACTAGAATAAATTCCCAGGAGAGTTTACACAAAGTGGAAAAATAACATTTGTGAGTTTATTTGTTGAACTCTATTTTGCTGCTGTTCCTGTCTTTCTTTTGCACTGTTCCAGAACCAGGTGGTGAAAATCTAGGGAACCTTTAGGTGGCAGCAAAACTTTGTAGTATTCTTTGTCTCACTACTGCCACCAAATGGCCACCTGTATTTTGGCAGCCAAATTAAAATTGGCCATCTGAATTTACAGGCAGTCTTCTGACTCATCTCTCACAAGTCTTGTTTTTTTGAGGGGGTGTGAATGTCGTTGAATCAGAAGCAAGCTACTTTTGCCAAACAGCACATCTAACAGGAATGATTAGCTTTGGCATGTCCACCATTCAATCTACTCTACCGGGTTGTTGTTGTGGAAAAAACAACAACAAGAGGATTGAATATTATCCATCGCACCTTCATCTCCCAAAAGAAAGGCAGGATAGAAGGCTAATAAGCAAGCTAACAAATATAATTAACAGCATTTTGCACCTTGCTTCAAAATGTTGGATGAATTGATCCGAAGGACTGAAATATTAACACACTAATCCCAATTCCTAAGGATACCTAAATATTTTATTTCCTTCTGAACTTCAAGACCCATTTTATCCATCAGTTCTGTTCGAGCATCTAGTTTCATGTTTTTCTGTTAACTTCTTCCTCTTCTGTTTGTTAATTTTAAAACCTGCTAACAGACCAAATTGTTCGAGTTTTCCCATTAATGTTTCAATTCCCTTTAAAGGATCTTCCAGAATCAACAAGTCATCTGCAAAACATAGGATTCTTTTTAAAAAAAATCTTTACTCCCACAATCTTTTCATCTTGTCTTATATGTCCATTTAGTATTTCAAGAACCAAAATAAACAAGAAATGAGACAATCCCTGTCTTGTTTCTTTCTGAATCTTACAAGGGTCGGTGGTTAAATCTCCATTAATGATGTGGGCTTTTTTTGTGTGTGCTTTCTGTCAAGTCGAAATCGATCTTATCCATTTTATAAAGGTCTCTCTCTCTCCAAAATTCATATCTTCCAAAGCCGTGGATGTGAAATCCCAATTCAAATCGTCAACGGTCTTCTCCACCTCTAAGAAAATCAATGCGGCTTGTTTTTCATGACGTCGGTTCAAATAATCTAGAATGTCTAACATATGTCTAACATTACCCTTTAACCCTCTTTTAGGAAAAAAACTACATCGATCCTCATGAACAAATTCCTGCAAAATCATTTTCAGTCGATCAGCTAGAATCTTTGTGAACAAGTTGTAGTCTTCATTCAGTAAATATTGTCTATTGTTTCTCCTTAAAAAATTAAATCTTGTCCCTCTTTAGGCATTAATGCAAATATCGGAGTGTTTCTAATTCCTGTGTGATAGATTTCATCATACAGATAGTCCTCTAATTATGACCTCAGTTGAGACCAAAATTTATGTTGCTAAGCAAAACGGTTGTATGTCATAAGTCACTTTTTTCAGTACTGTTGTAACTTCGAATGGACACTAAATGAATAGTTGTAAGTTGAGAACTACAAATTTTCTGACAGTGAGTCAACAGAATAGCTTGCCTTGTTGGCACTCCATCATGAGAGGTCCTCAAAAATAAACTGGAGAACCATTTGACTGGGATGACATTAGACTCCTGCCTTGAGAAGAGGGTTGGTCTAGAAGACCTCCGAGGTCCCTTCCAAGGTCCCTTTATGATTCTAAAGTCTTGCCAGAGCAGGCGAGAGGGTGTTCAAATGTTCAGAAAAAAAATGACTTCGTTTCTTTTTTTTTTTGCAAGACCCACGTCTTATTTAACATACAAATATTCCCTAAGTGCAAGAAAACGCACTTTTGAAAAGATTTGAAAAGATTCAAAAGGTTGAATCTTTGATGAGGTTGCATGCGAGGCAAAAAGGTGTTGGGTGGAAAGGCGTGTGGTTTTTGTTGCTTCTGAAAACAAAGCCGTCACCTTGTTTTGCTGGTCAGCGCCTCAAGGCGTCTTCCAGCTGTTCCAGCAGCCAGAAGGAACTTCTAGACTGTGCATGGTTGATGCACTGGAAGACACCTTGAAGGGATGAACCATGCCATGCCACGAAGGAGCAAAGTTGCCTTATTCAACCCCAGTCAAAAATTGATGCCAAAAGTTTTCTTAATTCCCCCCCCCTTCTCTTTCAAAGGATCCTTTGGTTGCCAACATATTTGCAGGGTGGAATGTTTTTCTCGGTTGCTTTGAGTGAGCTTTGAAGTTGGAGATGGCGTTCAGCCCCTCCTTCCATTCCTTTGGACCAGTTGTTTGCCCATCACACTGGGAGGCAAATTATGATGGAGAAGGAACAGCCCCACTCCAGAAGTTGTGGGTGCTCCATCCCTGGAGATTTTCAAGAAGAGACTGGACAGCCACTTGTCTGGAATGGGATAGTCTCCTGCTTGAGCAGGGGGTTGGACTAGATGACCTCCAAGGTCCCTTCCAATCCTAGGATTTCATGTTCTAGGTCAAAATAGAAGGCCTTCACCCAGATCTTAGCTTCGGTGTCTCCTTGCTGGTCCTTCTTGGCAACTTGAAGACAATTTGAAGAACCTCACCAGACGCAAGGTTTGATGTCTCCTTCCTACTCCTTCAGGGAACTTACTCAGGAGTAGTTCATTACTCAGGAGAGGCTCTCCACAGAGGCAGGCTAACCTTCATCCTGCTGTCTCTCAAACGGATAGCAGTACATTTTCTACTGGCAAAACTTCTCTAATTTCATTAAAAAAAAACCCTCTTTCAGATCTAATACTATAATTCAGAACAATCTAGCTTGAATTTGGGGGCAGAGGGAAAAGGAACGTGACACGTACATCTTTGTTAATTATTCTTGTGCTTTGACTTCTCAGAGAAATATTGTTCCGTGTATGTCATTGTGCTTTGATTATGTTCTGTTGCTATGGCTGGTGGCTGTGATAACTCTTTTGATGGAAACGGATTGCCTTCTGCGCTTGGCCATTTATTACTGGATTAAGGAACGCTAAACGTGGTTGCGGCAAAATGCTACAACTTGCTTCAACTAAGATGCCAGGTCTTTTTCAAACAGGTGGTAAAGGTAGCTCTACCTGGGGCAACATGATAGAAACATTTGGAGATGCCTGAAAGAGTTTCCAATACTTCCAATATTTGAGGGGCTGTCACAGAAAAGAGGGGCTCAACCTGTCCTGCAAAACACCCGAGGACAGGATAAGAAGTAATAGTAACTGTTACAACTGTCTTTGTGAGATTTACTCACAACTAAGATGAGGATTATGGGATCCATAGTTGGGAGAACTGGGTATGTCTAGTCTAACAAAGAGAAGCATTAGGGGTAATGACAAAGATGATTAAAGGTCTACCATATGAACAGTTGAGAGAGCTTGGTCTACTCTAATGAAGAGAGGAATTAGAGGTGACAATATCTACCAATATTTAAGGGCTGTCGCAGAGAAGAGGGGGTCAACTTATTTTCCAGAGCACCAGGCAGCAGGACAAGAAGCAACGGATGGAAACTAATCAAGGAGAGAACCCACCTAGAACTAAGGAGAAACTTCCTGATAGTGAGAACAGTTAATTAGTGGAACGGCTTCCTTCCAGAAGTTGTGGGTG